GACGTTAGCTGACCTACAGTTCTTCCCGTCGTCTGCAGACCCTTCGCTCTTCGTTCGTGCTGGCCAGACCCCGTTCTACATCCTTGTCTACGTAGACGACCTGGTCTTTACTACAGCAGAGAGAGACACACTGGCTCAGTGAAAGCTGAGCTGTTGAGGAGACACATCTGCACTGACCTGGGAGAACTGCGCCGCCACCTTGGCCTGTAGATCTCCAGGGACAGAGCAGCGCGCACCATCACTCTGACACGGTCACACTTGGTGCGCCAGGTCCTTCAAAGGTTCGTCCTTCAGTTCTCTTTTGCACAACCCACACCTCTGCCAGTAGATTACTGCTGTCAGCTCTAGTCCCTGAGGAGTCTGTAGAGCCTAGTGGTCCTTACGCAGAGCTAGAGGGTTGCCTCATGTACCTGATGACTTGCACTCATCCAGATCTCGCATACCCTCTCAGCATCCTGGCTCGCTTTGTGGCGTCAGGCAGATACCGGCCACATCACTGGTCGGCTGCTAAGAGAGTTTTGTGTTAACTAGCAAGTACATCGGGCATGGGCTAGTGCTAGGAGGACGCAGGCCATTGGTCCTTACAGGGCACACAGACGCTTCGTGGGCAGATGACGCTGCGACACTCAGTCCTCCCAGGGCTATTGCTTTAGCATTGGTGCTGGCGCCGTCTCGTGGCGGCCCACCCGTTCTTCCTCTGTTGCCCAGTCTAGCTGTGAGGCTGAGATCTACGCCGGTGCCATGGCAGCACAGGAGCTCCACTGGCTGACCTTCTTGCTCACAGACTTAGGTGAGCGGCCTAGCTCTGCCCCGGTTCTGTACGCTGACAACAGGGCCATGATCCTCCTGTGTCAGGAGCCTAGACTAGAGGGCAGAGCGAAGCACATCCAACTGTGGTACTTCCTCCTGCGCGAGCTGCAGCAGCACCGTGAGGCTCACGTAGTGCACTTGGCCTCAAGTGCCAACACAGCAGATATCTTTACGAAGGCGCTTGCGCCTAAAGATCATTAGCGGCACTGTGTACAGCTTGGTCTAGTTCCTGTAGCTTCTCATTTACTAAGACCTTGATTGTGTACTAATTTTATATTATCTTCACTGGCCTTGTGGCTCATGTCCCAGAGGCTGGACTGGTAGTATAACCCTGGGTTGCTCTTGTTTAGTTTGTCATCTGGCTGACTGGTCTTCAGGCCCCTGACTCAGTAGTGCCACCTTGAGTGGTGTGTCTCTTGCTAGGCACTGCCCCTCATCTAGCCTTATAGGCTAGATAGGTGCGTACTCTTAGAGGGTACAACCCCTTAGACAAAACTGTTAGAAGACTAGGCTAGGAGGAAAGGAAGGAAGCCATGAATGGCGTGAGGGTTTAGGAGCTAGGAGCTAGGAAGTTGACGAAAGAAAAGAGAGTGGGACTAGAAGAGAGAGAGGCATACAAGGAGGGAGTTGTACCCTCTACAGCAGAGTTCGAGAAAACCTACCAAGCCTACTAATTATATAACAAAATGTATAATTTTACACACCCCCTAGGCTTGGTAGTCACAAGCCCACCCCACATGCAACACCTCTAAGCCTAGCACCCCCATACCCTGCAGCAGATGTGACTGCAGGGAAGGAAGGCGCTAGGCCTTCTTGAGCTGCGGCGGGGCGGAGCCAGCTGGTGTGGCGAGCTGAGACCGACGCTGCGAGCTGGGACGGACGCGGCGAGCTGGGTTCGCTGGGACTGACGCGGTGAGTTGGGTCCGACGCAGCGAGCTGGATCCAACGCGGCGAGCAGGGTCCGACAGACAAGCTGGGGAGGCACGGCGAGCTGGAGTGCGGGCTTGCTGCCCGGTGCCTAAACCAGTGCGAGGCCCACTGCCGCATGTGCGCTGACGCGACGACGGCGGCACGGCGGCACTGAGGCACTGAGGCACGGCGACGTGACGGGGCCGGCGCGGCATGACGGGGCCGGGCGCGCCATGACGGGGCCGGCGCGGCGTGACGGGGCCAGAGCGGGGTGACGGGGCTAGCGCGGCGTGACGGGGCCAACGCGGAGGGACGGGGCCGGCGCGGAGTGACGGGGCCGGCGCGGCGTGACGGGGCCAGCGCGGAGTGATGGGGCCAGCGCGGCGTGACGGGGCCAGCGCGGCGTGACGGGGCCAGCGCAGCGTGACGGGGTCAGCGCGGAGTGACGGGGCCAGCGCGGCATGACGGGGCCAGCGCGGCGTGACGGGGGGGGGGGGGGGGGGGGTACGCTGCGGAAGCGTGAGGAGAAGGCCCGAGCGAAAGGGGCCTGCTCTGATACCATGTTAGAAGACTAGGCTAGGATGAAAGGAAGGAAGCCATGAATGGCGTGAGGGTTTAGGAGCTAGGAGCTAGGAAGTTGACAAGAGAAAAGAGGGTGGGACTAGAAGAGAGAGAGGCATACGAGGGAGTTGTACCCTCTACAGTAGAGTTCGATAAAACCTACCAAGCCTACTAATTATATAACAAAATATATAATTTAACAAAAACCACCATGTTTCTCTCATTGTAGTCAACCTTTCTACTTTGAGACATCAACTTTCCGGTTTCTCTTTGGTTGAGACAATTCAATCTTATTTTCAAATCCGACATACTAATTAATGCGTTATTAAGCAAAACAAGCCAACACAAACAAGCAAATGCAGTGAAGCATATACTACACATGTTGCCATTTACGTATGGAATCATGGTACACCTCACCTGGCACTCAGGTACGCTGCCCATCTTACAACATGCGACTTCTATGCTCCTTCACTCTCCCACTATCACAAGCATGTGTTTTCTCTTACGTCTAAACCACTTCTACCCTCTCCACCCACCCACCCATCCCCTCCATCGGAGAGTTGTGGTCTTAAGATAAGTAATGTGACCCCAACCCACCCCTTCTCTCTCACAAGGCTTGTGATCTGTGATGTGACCCCAACCCACCCCTTCCTTTCTGTGACTCCATCCCTTCCCCTTCCCCTTCTCTCTCTCAAGACTTGTGATCAGTGATGTGACCACACTACCACTGTGTCAACCTGCGAAACCCGGAATGATTGAGCTCCTCGGCTGGAATACCCACATGCCCCTAATCACTAAGGCCTCCAGCGGGAACAGAGTCACAAATCATCGTGTCACAAATTATGAAGTCAAGTCGAGCCCGATGGTGGTAGAATACGTCTCCGCCGGTATGACGGCCAGGTGCTGGGTGGAAACCTAAAGCTACCCGCAGGCACGATCTCAAAACATCTGAAGGAGCGATAAGGAAACCCGAGATAGTTCCTGTTGGATGGGAGCACGGAACACAGGGCGGATACGCAGGATAGTTGTTTGGATGGGGAGATGCATACACAGCAGGAGGAGAAGAAACGATACCCGGAATTACTGCAGTAAATACAGATGTGGTTGCATGCAGGGAGGATAGACACATAAATGGCAAGATCCCAGTTGGGAGAAATCCGGTGTGCAAGGCAAGGGGAGAGGGATAGGGAGGGGAAGACAGAGACAGGTCGCATCGGGTAAGTTGGTTGTTACACTCAAGGAATGCTCCCAGCGCTCATGCCTCCCTGCCGTCCCAGGAAACGTATCCTTCAATCCGATGCCCCTCATCTGGTAACCTTTTTTTAAAATTATAAAAATGACCTCCCGATAAAATGTGTGCTTTGCGATGATAAGCAGAGCTCCACAATACCACTCACGGAATGGATGTACTGCTGATGCCACCTATCTGCACGTAAAACGAATCATATGCTCCAACGCATCCCTCCGCATAATACCCCTGGATTGCCCTGCAGTCGCCCGCGCCCCCAGGGGCGCGCTGCACGCTGCAGTAAGACTTGATGCCCGTAGCGCTGGACAGGTCGAGGGTGGTGCAGTTGTCGTACGGCAGGCGGAGGGTGTAGGCGGCGGGCGTCAATCCGAAGTTTGGCAGCATGTAGTGATAAATGTGTAGTATTCTGTGGTGTATTTTGCTCTAGCTGGTTGTGGGCTATTGGGTTTTGGGCAAAAGAACTTGGGTTGGTTGGCAAGGTTTGAACTCGTTACCTTTCCAACCCATACAACCTCAAACCCACTACAACATCTGTGATGTTGCAGTCATGGCACTTGAGAGTGTTGGCGTTTGGTCTAGGGCAATGGTTGGTGGTGTTTGACAATCACATACTGGAACTTTTCCAGATCGAACTACTTCCCTTCTCGTTTTTACTAGGTGATTCATGGCTGCCTAGCCAAATTACCAGAATATCCCCTCACACTGATTTCGTCATAATCGACGGCTCAGATCTTGGTTATGAACGTGCTTTACCATTCTGGAAAGTAGAGATTAAGACCTTTCCAACGCGTATAAGCTCATTTCTATAAGTTACCTGAGCAGCACGCAATGATCCGTTGAGGTCGTCAGACTTAATCTCTAATTAGTTCTCTCCAGATTTGCACGATTTTCATCAGTGGTATCAGAGCCACGGTTAGAGGACGTTCTTTCCTCCATTGGAAGAGATCTAGAGAGGCTTGAAGTGCTCCAGATCTAGGGTTTGACATGGCCCAAAAGTTGGATGGCCCTCCTAGGTTTACCGGCTCGGACTTTTCGCTATGGAGGTTCCAGTTCACACTATGGCTAGGTATTAAGGACCTAGAAAGTGTGTTGGATGGATCGGAGAAGCGACCACGAGCTGACTCTGGGGATGCGTCTACTGGAGCAACCAGCCAAGTGGGATCCGGGGCTGGGTGAGCATCGTTGAGTGGGGGGAATGAAGGAGGAACCGCTGCAACTCGAACTGGAAGGTCGCAACCAAGTCGCGAGGAGTTGCTCAAAGCTCAAGAAGCATGGGATCGGAAGGATCGCCAAGCATTTCAGTACCTGTGTTGGGCTTTGGAGGGGCAACTTGAGCTTCTTAAGATGCTGATTGACCTGAAGGGGAAGGAAGGTGCAGCAGCTGCAGCTTGGAAAAGAGTGCAAGATAGGCACTTGCAGAAAGGGCTTCTAAGCGTGCTTACTTGGCGGAAGCGGTTTTACACCATGGAGCGGAACTATGGGGAGGGGGAGACCATGGTTCAGTATCTCCAGAGGGTGGATGAGAATGTGAGGGCTTTGGAGGAGCTGGATTACACGGTAGATGAGAAGGAGATCATCTATACTGCACTCCAAGGGTTGGATCAAGCGGCTAATGAGGCATTACTACAGTACCTTCACCTCGAGCAACAGAAATGGACCAAGGTGTGGATTTGGGAGGTTCTAATTTCTGATGAGGCTCGCAAGGTTGATGCTGGAAGAGGCCTAGAAGGAGGCATGGGTGCAGCAGATAAAGCTTCCTTCAGGAAAGGCTATCAACAGCAAGGAGGTGGGGGGAAGAAGAAAGAGTTGGACAAATGCCTTGTGCCCGGATGCAACAAAAAACACTCTTGGAAGAGTTGCTGGAGTAGGCCTGAGGGATGGAAGCCTCACGGCTACTCTGGAGAGGCCCCACCAGTGACCAAACCTGATTGGGTGGAGAAAAGGATGAAGAAGGGGCTCTGGAATAAGAAGGGCAGCAAGGGAGCAACGGCGGCAGCTGCTAAGGATGAGAAGGGGAAGGGCCAAGACGACTCCTCCGATGATGGTTTCTCGTTTCTCATGCTAGGGCAGGATGCATCTCTCGCTGGTCGTGCATTGGCTGATCCCAACTTCCTGGTTCTAGACTCTGGAGCAACATCTGGGATGCTTCCTCGCCGTGATCTCTTCACCTCCTACCATCCTCTCCCACCAAACTCTAGGAGAGTGATTGTTGGGAGCGAAGATTTGCTGCAGGCAATTGGCATCGGCACGATCACCATTAAGGGGAAGGAGGGGGAGCTAGTGGGTGTGAAGGGGGTCCTTCACATCCCTGGTTTGGCTGCAAACCTCCTTTCATGCTCGCAGCTGGCTAAACAGGGATACATCTGCACTTTCACTGAGGGAGGGTGCACTGTTAGAAATGGTGAAGCTGTGGTGATGGAGGCAAAGCTGGACAAGGGTTTATACCTTGTTCCAGCTTGTGTGCCTAATTGTTACAAGGCACATATGGTTTTTTCTGAGGAAGCCGCTTGTAGCACTCGCTGGAGGCAGGTGGAAACGGTGTCACCTGAGTTGCTACACCTTCGCATGGGGCACGCGGGGAAGCAGCAACTACTGGAGTGTGTGAAGAAGGGGGAGCTGAAGGGGGTGGAGGTCAAGGAAGGAGCTGGGCAGTAGAGAAAATGTCCTGACTGCACATCTCGAAAGCTGCCTAGAACCTCATTCCCTATCTCCTCTGATCATGCCTCGACTCCCCTTGAGCTTGTGCACACGGATGTGTGTGGACCGATGCAAACTCCTGACCGGGAAAGGGGCAGCAGGTACTTTGTCACCTTTCTTGATGATTTCAGTCGACTTAGCTGGGTCATCTTGGTGAAGACCAAGGATGAGGTGGCAAAGGTGTTTAAGCGGTGGATACGCTATGTGGAGAGGGAATCAGGGGCCAAGGTAAAGGTGTTAAAGTCAGATCGGGGTGGAGAGTACCTTGAGAACGAACTTCAAATCTTCTTGGAAGAAAAGGGTATTTCCCACCAGCTCTCTGTACCTTACACGCCGCAGCAAAATGGGGCAGCGGAGCGGCTTAACAGGACCTTGACCGATTTGGCTCGGGCCATCCTTGCCCATGCCGAGCTTGATAACACTTAGTGGGGGGCAGCAGTGCAGTATGCCAACTGGGTGAAGAACAGGATGGGCAGCAAGGGGCTTGGAGGCAAGAGCCCATACTCCTTATGGACAGGGAAGGTGCCGAATGTTTCCATGGCACGAGTGTGGGGGTGCATGGCTCAGTATAAGGTACCTGACCAGCAAAGGAGGAAGCTAGATCCTAAGGCACAGTGGGGGATTTTCCTTGGGGTTTCTAAGAGGAGCAAGGCTTGGGTGCTATGGAGTGTAGCTGACCAGCGTGTGATGGAGAGCCGTGATGTGATTTTCCATGAGGGGCTGAATTATAAGGGGTGGAAGGAGCGTGGTGCAAGCCATAGTGGGACTTCCATTCAAGACCCTCATACGGCCTCTATCTTTGAGGGGGCATGGGAGGACCCTGGAGATGAAGGGGAGGAGCAGCACGAGGAGCCAGAACCAGCTGATTCTAACCATGAGGAGTCCCGAGAGACAGATTCTACCCCTCAGCCAGCCACGCAGGCCGATGCGCATGATGATCAGCCGGAGCAGCATGTGCCTTCAACTCCATCGAGAAGCAGTTGGCAGCAGTTGTTGGACCAGCAGCTGTCCAAGACTCCAAGGACTCCAATGAAGAGGGTGACTTGGGAGGAGAAGCTGCGGAGGCTGGAAGAAGGAGAGGCAACACCTCTGCGACGCAGTGCTCGAATTTCCCAGCCACCTGAAAGGTTTACCCCGGGGCACATTGCACGCATGCATGATCATCTTGTGTCTGATTTGGATGATTGCATGCTTGTGGACATGCATGGACATGAGTATGCTCTTGATGTGTGTCTAATGGGTCAGGTGCATGAGCCTAGGTCAGTCCACGAGGCGCTGAACCGTCCCGAATGGGTTGAGTCCATGCATGAGGAGCTTGAGTCTCACAAGGTAAATGGATCATTTGAGTTGGTTGATCCAGCAGTGGTACCACCTGGTTTGGAGGTCCTCAGGTGTCAATGGGTTTGGAAATACAAACATAACCCTGATGGTACCGTTGAGAGGCCTAAGTCCACATTGGTGGTGATGGGAAACATGCAGAAATTGGGAGTACACTATGAAGAAGTGTACTCTCCAGTTGGGAAGCATGCGACCTTGAGAGGTATGCTTGGAATTTCGGCTGCTTTGAAGCTTGATATCCATCATATGGACGTCAAGACAGCCTTCCTCCATGGGGATTTGGAAGAAGAGCTTTACATGCGGCAGCCTCCTGGTTTTGATGATGGGTCTAACCGAGTGTGTCGCCTCAAAAGGTCCATTTATGGGCTGAAGCAAGCCCCACGACAGTGGTACCTGAAATTTGATGAGGCTCTCATGGATTTTGGGTTTGAGAGATCTGAGTGTGACCCTGCCTTGTACCACTTTGTGCGAGATGAGGAGAGGATCTCCTTATTCCTCTATGTGGATAACCTTTTGCTCCTATGCTCTAGTAAAGTTTTGTTAGATCAAGTGAAAGACTTCTTGTCCTCGCGTTTTCGCATGAAGGACTTGGGGGAGGTGAAGTACTACTTGGGAATGCAAATTGAGCGTGATGAGAGTGGTATCTTGATTCATCAAGAGAGGTACATTCTTAACATGCTTCAGTCCTTTGGTCTTTCAGAGGCCAACCCCGTGCGTACTCCTCTCCCGACAGGCTTTGATGTGCATGCCTATGAGGATGAACCTTTGCTGCGAGATGAGCTGGTCAAGCTCTACCAAAGCATTGTGGGATCCCTCATGTATGCTTGTACTACCACACAGCCACAGATTGCATTCGCAGTCTCACAGCTATCTAAGGTCGCCTCTTGTCCTAAAATGTTCCACTTGCAGGCCGCTAAGAGAGTGCTGAGGTACCTGAAAGGTGGTGTCAAGTCAGGTATCTTCTTCCAAACACAGCCCCAATATCAGGTCCAGCTGGTTGGCTTCAGTGATGCCGACTATGCTGGAGATTCCGCAAGTCGCAAGAGCCATAGTGGGTATGTGTTCTGCCTGAATGGGGCAGCTATCTCTTGGCAGAGCAAGAGGCAGCCCGTGGTGGCACTCTCTACCACTGAGAGTGAGTACATAAGTCTGTGTCATTGCATTCAGGAGGGTGTGTGGCTGAGGCGTTTGTTTGGGGAGTTTGGCCATGCTCATGCTGGTGGTGTGCCTGTGTTTGTGGACAATCAGTCTGCCATTGCCCTTGCACAGAATGCATGCTTGCATGGCCGCACCAAACACATGCAGGTCCGGTGGCATTTCATTCGGGAGATGGTGGCTGCGGGAGAGGTGATTTTGCAGTGGTGCCCCACCAACCGTCAGGCTGCTGATATCCTTACCAAGTCTCTTCCATTTGAGCGCCATGGTGTGTGCATGACCTTGCTCGGGATGCAGCCCCATGATGACAGGGTTCCCGCAGCAGATGCCGGCGTCTTGGTGCTCCTCTCCTTGGCGGACTCCATGCTCTGGGTGGCCCCAACCCATGGGCAAGGGGGAGTGGTGTGAAGTCTTTTGCCCTATGGTGTTGAGCCACACTCAGCACGAGCAAGGGGGAGTGATAAATGTGTAGTATTCTGTGGTGTATTTTGCTCTAGCTGGTTGTGGGCTATTGGGTTTTGGGCAAAAGAACTTGGGTTGGTTGGCAAGGTTTGAACTCGTTACCTTTCCAACCCATACAACCTCAAACCCACTACAACATCTGTGATGTTGCAATCATGGCACTTGAGAGTCTTGGCGTTTGGTCTAGGGCAATGGTTGGTGGTGTTTGACAATCACATACTGGAACTTTTCCAGATCGAACTGCTTCCCTTCTCGTTTTTACTAGGTGATTCATGGCTGCCTAGCCAAATTACCAGAATATCCCCTCACACTGATTTCGTCATAATCGACGGCTCAGATATTGGTTATGAACGTGCTTTACCATTCTGGAAAGTAGAGATTAAGACCTTTCCAACGCGTATAAGCTCATTTCTATAAGTTACCTGAGCAGCACGCAATGATCCGTTGAGGTCGTCAGACTTAATCTCTAATTAGTTCTCTCCAGATTTGCACGATTTTCATCATGTAGAAGGTGAAGCTTGTCGAGGAGACGGTGGGGGTGGCGCCTGGACACATGGGGGGGAGCACAGGCATACGGGAATGAACAGTTGTGGGGGAGAGCACAGGCAAGGGTGGGTGGCGTTATGCCCAACCACGGCAGCATGTAGAAGGTGAAGCTGGTGGAGGAGACGATGGTGGTGGCACCTGGCAGGGAAGAGGAAACAAGGGGATTGGGAAGAGAGCGAAATACAAGCACACAGCATAGGCAGAGGGCGTGAAGCCGAGGATTGGCAGCATGTAGAAGGTGAGGCTCGGGGAGGAGATAGTGGGGTTGGCGCCTGGACACAGTGGGGGGGCATGGACATACAGGGATGAGAATTTAAGGGGCGTTACGCCATGCCCTCAAAAGCAAGATTTTTAGGCGAGGACCTAGCATAATACGATGCAAAACGTGCATCGTACCTAGGAAGCATGCATGCACTCGCTACACCTTGTATGCAGGCACCACATGCCACACCCTGAATCCAAGAACCACTAACCTAAATCAACCACTTGCCAAACCCTCATCCAAGCACCACTAGCATGTAAGCACCACCACTCCGTGATACCTTGGACGCAGCCAGCGTCGGTCATGCCATAGCCGGGAGCACACAGGCAGTACCAAGCCGAGGAGAAGGCCTTGGTGCACGTGGCTCCCACAGGGCACTTGCCACAGTTGGTGGGGCCTGTAGAGTGCGGAGAACAGGGGAGCAGAGAGGGAGAGAAGAGGGGAGCAGAGGGTGGGACACTATTCCAATCACGAAACCACAGCAGCACACAGTACATGCAAGGCTTAGCACAGAGCAGCACACAGCAGCACACAGCAGCACACCGCCGCACACAGCAGCACACACCGGCACTCAGCAGCACACAGCAGCAGACGGCAGCACCTACCAACGCAACCACAGGAGCACTACCAGCGCTGGTACGTGTCCCCCCCTCTCTCTCTGTCCCACAGCAGGAGCACATACCAGCGCACTTGCCATCCGGCTGCATGAACCAGCCTGGGTCGCACACACAGGACGGCATTCCTGCAGTGTCCACCTTGCACGTGCTGTTGGCGCCACACACCATGGACACGCATATGTCTGGGAGGAGAGGGCGGGGGGGGGGGGAGGGCGGGGGGGGGAAGGCGGGGTGGGAGGGGGGAGGGGGGTGGGGTTGTGGGCCCTGGAAAGTGAGATGAGGTTTGAGTTGATTGTCTAAATTCCACGTGCTGTTGGCACCACATGCCATGGGCGCACATTGGTGAGGGAAGCGAGGGGGGGAACGAGAGGTAAAACGAGAGGGAAAATGAGAGAGAGTGAGAAGGAGCAGCAGAAAGCAGCACATCCCAGCTCATACCTGCACATACCAGCACATACCAGCGCATGCAAGCACATACCACCGCACACCAGCGCATGTCACCAAATACCAGCACAAACCAGCGCATACGAGCACATGCCAGCACATACCAGCACATACCAGCACACACCAGCACATGCCAGTGCATGCCAGCTTATACCAGCGCATACAAGCACATACCAGCACATGCTACATACTACATTACAATACATTTCATTTCATTGTTTCATTACGTAATGAGATGCCAGACATGAGTCAACACGCCAGGCCTGTATCGTGGCGACGGCATGACAATTGGTGCCATAGCAGCCCTCACTTACCCACGCAAGTGGTGCCAACCATCTGGTAGCCCAGCTTGCAAACACAGGATGCCACACCGCTGGCACTCTTGATGCAGTGGGCACCGGCATCACAGCTCTTGATGTCGCACATGTCTGAAGGAGGGATGGAGAGCAGTGGAACGCCATCGCTGATTAATGAGTCGACTCAAATCTCCTTGGGGCAGTCGGCGCCGGCACCACGGCTCTTGAAGAAAGGGCGAAGCAAAATAAGCGCTTACTGATAAGAGAATGGAGAGGGAGTGATTGGGAGCACGCAGCAGCACACAGCAGCACACAGCAGCACACAGCAGCACACAACAGCACGTACCCTTGCATGTCTTGCCGTCAGCTTGCAGCACAAAGCCAGCGTCGCAAACACAAGAGGCCGCTCCAGCAGAGTTCTTGCTGCACATGCCGTTCCCACCACATTTCTGCAGCACGCATGTGTCTGGAGAGGGAGGGAGGAGCAAAAGGGGCTGCGAATGTCAAGGGCCTTCTCACAACAACAGGTGTGACCTCACAAGTTTCTGGGGAGGGGGAGGGTGGCGGAGAGGAAAGGGGGCTCTTAAGGGTCAAGAGGATGCCCTTGGCCTGGCACCACAGTTCTGCAGCACGCATGTAAGCGGGGAGGGAGGAGCAACAGGGACTGCAGATGTCAATTCAAGGGCCTTCTCACAACCACAAGTGTGACCTGGAAAATTCCTCAGAGATGACTTTTGAGTCAACTCAAAAATCTTCTCACAACCACAAGTGTGTCCTCACAGCAGCACACAGTAGCACACAACACTTCATACCAGTGCATTTCTAGCCGTCAGATTGCGGTACAAAGCCAGTGTCACAAACGCAGAATGCCGCTCCATTCGTGTCCTTGCTGCACGTGCCGTTCCCACAGCTCTGCACCACGCACGCGTCTGGGAGGAAGGAGCAGAAGGAACAATAGTTGTTAATGGCATGAGTGAAGTGAATTTGCCATAAGTTAAAACAGCACACCGCAGCAGCACAAGCACACGGCAGCAACACATACAAGGGTGAACACACAGCAGCACAAGCATGCAGCAGCAGCACATACCAGTACATGTTTTGCCATCCGCCTGCAGCTTAAAGCCCATGTCACAAACACAGGACGCCCTTCCAGCAGCGTTCTTGATGCACATGCCGTTCGCACCACACGCCTTGGCCTCACAGGGGTCTGGGTGAGGGGATGGTCCGATCCGATGGGCCAACGGAACAGTGTATGTGTGGCACATGGGAGGTCACCCAGTGAGTGACTCACTCACTCAGTGAGAGTGACTGTGCTATCAGTTTTAGCGGCCAGCAAGGCATGGCATGGCATGGCATCTGCATAGCATAACGCACACTAGGTGCAGGGCCGACACACACAGCAGCACATACAGCGCATCCTAGGCAGACAAGGTGACGCACACAGCGGCACATGCAATGGCAAACGTGCAGCACCACATTAAACGCACAGCGTACATACAAGGCTAGGTACACACATGGCAGCACATACCAGTGGTGCATGTCCTCTTGTCAGGCAGCAGCTCAAAGCCAGGGCCACAAACACAGGACGCCGCTCCAGTAGTGCCGCTCTTGATGCACGTGCTGTGCTCACCACATGCCTTGCGGTCGCAAAGGTCTGGGGCGAGAAGCGAAAGGGTCAGAAGATGTGATTACACAGCACAGCAGTACATGCCATCAGCGTAGGCAAGCACACACTAGATTAAACACACAGCAGCATCATGCACAGGCAGCACACAACAAACACACAGCAGAACGCACCAGTGCATGTCAACTTGTCAGCTTGCAGCTTGAAGCCAATGTCACAAACACAGGACGCCGCTCCAGTGCGGCTGTTCTTGATGCACGTGCTGTGCTCGCCACATCCCTTGACGTCGCAAAGGTCTGGGTGGGGAGAGGCGAAAGAGAGATAGAAGATGTGAAGGGGGCCAATATGCCATCAAGCACAGCAGCACATGCCATCGGCCTATCACACACTACCTAAAGAAGACAATAGCGGATTAGAGGGTAAGCACAGGGCAACACACAGCAGCACAAACCAGCGTAATCACACGGCAACACACTAACAGCACATACCAGTGCATGTCAACTTGTCAGCTTGCAGCTTAAAGCCAATGTTGCAAACACAGGACGCTGCTCCAGTACGGTTGTTCTTGATGCACGTGCTGCGCTCGCCACATCCCTTGGTCGCAAAGGTCTGGGTGGGGAGAGGCGAAAGGGACAGAAGATGTGGTGCGAGGGACTTTGGTATCAAGCACGGCAGCAAAAGCCATTAGCATATTCGCACACCCGCTTCAGCTCACAGCATCGTAAACACACTAAGCACAGAACAAGCATACAGTAGCACGTACCAGTGCACGTTCTCTTGTCTGCTTGCAGCTTAAAGCCAATGTCGCAGACACACGACGCCGCTCCCGTACGGTTGCTCTTGATGCACGTGCTGTTCCCACCACATCCCTTGAGGTCGCACCAGTCTGGGTGGAGAGAAGCGCACAGAAACACATGCCATCAGCATAGGCACACACTAGATTCAGCATGCAGCAGCACATAGTTCGAGGGTGGCAACCTGACGGCAACACAAAGCAGCACCCACCAGTGCATGTCCTCTTGTCAGCCTGCAGCTTAAAGCCAATGTCGCAAACGCAGGACGCCGCTCCCGTGCGGTTGTTCTTGATGCACGTGCTATTTCCACTGCATCCCTTGAGGTCGCAAAGGTCTGGATGGGGAAAAGCGCGCAGCAGCACATGCAATCAGCACACACTTGATTTAAGGG